TGTATTTTTCGAGGGCTCATGAATATGCATTAGACGAAAATGCCGTCTGGAAAAAAACTGTCACGCACAGAATTGTGCCTCTGAAACTAGTTTAAGCGGGATCGTTCAATGAAACAGTTTGCTGCATTCGGTTTAGTACGGTTTTGGGGGAAAATGGTTTCTATAAGGGTTACTGGAAACATTGGGGTTTGAGGCTTTGAGGGAAGAAAGGTTAGTAATAGCCCAGGCGCCTGTCTGCTTTTTGTTGAGGAGAGAAGAGCTTATGAACAAATAGAAAGCTATTTTTCTACGAGGTGACGTTTTTTGAAGTAAATCAAATGATAGAGGTCGTAAATAGAAGTTTATTGTCTGCCATAGAAGAGGAGATCGTTAGTAAACAAAAAGTAATTGTTGTGCAGGTCCGCTAAGATCACGGAAATAACTATGATGTGGAATGATTTGGGTGAGTAATCTCCTCCTTCCAGGCCTTCCGTGGGAGTTCTGTTACGAGGTCAAATTCTATCCGACCGTACCATCTTCACTTAATGATGATCATGCACGATATAATCTTTTTCTACAATTGAGGAATGATGTTTGTACTGGGAGGTGAGTCGGAGCTTTTTTATTTCAGGTTGTTCTAAGATTTTGGTCCGAAATGCCTGCTATGAATGTTGTTTGTTTGGATTTGTCGCTCTATGTAAACAAAATTTTTCATATTATGCTTTGACTGTATGTATCATATAATCATAAACTCACGTTTGTACAAAAACGCGGTTTTGGGTGCGGGGTCTGCCACTTTCTGACTGCGAACATTGCCGGGGGCGGAGCTTGCCATTTTCCATTACCTTTTATTTGAAAGGAAATTTCAGCAGGGTGCACATACATGTTTGATATGCATAGTGTATTTAAAAAGGAAGGTAGTTCGGACCAAAATTATGGGAAATTTTTCAGAAGCAAACGTAAAATGTTTTTCATTGTTTTAAAACTGTTTTTAGACTGCCAGCAACACTAGAGACACATGCTACACTAGGTTCGTTAGTGGCTCAAGCCGAATTCGGTGATGCTAAGCCAACACCTGAATACGAACAATATTTACGCTCAACGAAATTTGCCCCACAAATGAGTGATCAGTTGATTGAAATGATAGCACAGAAACATAAGGAGCATAAGTAAGTTTTCTTTGCTGACTGATTTTTCTACATTTTTTGAATTATTTATATTTTTTTCCAGAGGTTTGACGCCATCAGAAGCGGAAAATCTGTATCTGGACACATGCAAACAGCAGACGATGTATGGTATCTTCGTCTTCAATGCCAAGGTAGGTCTTTACTGACTGTAATATTGATTTTATCGATTTTTTGTCCTTTAGGACAGTAAAAATGCCCCAGTCGGGATTGGAATATGTGCCCATGGAATCTACATCTATAAAGATCAAATCCGTGTGAATCGCTTCCCTTGGCAGGGCATCAATAAAATCTCTTATCGCAAAAATCAGTTTGCTATCAAGCTGAAAGCTGGAGAGGTGTGAGCCTATTCAATAATTCTTGATAAAAAATGAAACTGTTGATTTCAGATCGACAAAAAGGAAGCTACAGTAACGTATAAGGTCGCTGACTATCATGCTGCAAAACGAATTTGGAAGTGCGCCGTTGAACATCACACATTCTTCAGGTAATAT